TCTCATGTTGATATGTAAAGCCCAGCAAAATATGTCAAAGGCAGATTCACCAAAAAAAAAAAAAAAAATTACTAATAAAAAAGTAGGAAAAAAAGATTTTTTTCTTTGTTTCTTTAAGAGTCCACAATAATTCAAACTCCATTACTTTTTGCTTTTTTAAGCAGAACCAATAAGGAAATAGTTAAAAAGAAATCAATTTTCCCTTGAAATACCTATAATTGCCAAGAGGAAATAGCCCTCTGTGCCCAAGAAAAGCCTCTCTTTAATTATAAAAAGGTGATCTGTAAAAATTAAGAAATGGGATGGTCAGATCTAGAGTTCATTTGAGTTTGGCTTTGGCATGGCATGGAACTGGATGGAAATCCCACCTCCCAGCTGGTCACTGACCAGGGGATTGCAAAAACCTCTGCTTCGTGATCTCCTTGCCAGGAACAGCCATCTGGAGGACATATGATCAATTTCAGGTGTTCTCCTTAGCTCTGGAGAAATCTTTAGGCTCAAAGGGACCTGCCCAAGCCTTAAAAACTGCACTATCAGTCCCTTTGAGAAAGAGGCTCTCAAAAGAGATGCGTTCAACCTGCCATACCACCAGAAGCTCCTTAAGAAAATTAATATACATTTTAATATATACAGTACATATACTAAAATTACATAATTATAAGATCATTCCATTCACAGGAATGATCCTTGATGGAATTATACTAAGGGGATGCAGACCTGTTTCTGCCCAATGAACCAAGTGGGTCGGGACACATGCATTGGGAGGAATGGTGCATTCAAAGAGCACTTAGAACCACAGTCCAGATTAGCAGAGATGTGATTTCCTTAGAGCAACACACAAACATTCCTTTCTCACTTCATTATTGTGGGAGGGGATGAATATTTTCAAGGGAAGGTTGCAGGCAGCATTGGAGAAGCAAGGCCTAATCTTTCCCTTCTCTGCACTAGTAACCTCTCTGAAAATCTTTCTGACCAGCAGTGAGGTTTTAAAGGTTTCATTGATTAAAATGAAAGGTTTTTTAAAACCTTGATAAGAGTATTAATCAGCTGGATTTAGCAGTAAGAGCCCCTTTCATTTGATCTTGGTAACAGTTGAAACCAGGGACTGGGTATCAGGTATTGCCTGGGAAAGGAATTGGCGGATAAGACAGAGAATTCCCCTGTGCTATTTTTGGACCCTCAGCAAGATATTCACTATGCCTGGGTCAAAACCTAGAATACCATAGGTAGCATGGACAGTTGATTTAATGGTATTGTATCTACAGCTATATTGAGATTAAATGGTAAGGCATCAGAGCAACCTATTGGTGCAATTACAGATAGTCATCACTTAATAACCACAATAGGGGCCGGAAAATTGGTCGTTAAGCAGGGCAGTTGTTAAGTGGGTCACCATGTGACCGGACCCAATTTTATGACCATTTTTATGATGGTCTTAAAGAGAATCACCGTGGTCATTAAGTGAATCACATGGTTGTTAAGCGAATCCAGTTCCCCAGTGGACTTTTTTGCTGGAATTCCCTTAACCACATGATTCATTTAATGATTGCAATGATTCACTTTATGACCATCATAAAAAAGGTCGCAAATTGCGATCGTGACTGCGGGGGCAGTGCAATGGTTTGTGATGGTTGTAAGTATGAGTGCAGGTTGTAAAGCACTCTTTTCAAGGCTGTCGTAACTTAGAACCGTTGTTAAATGAACAGTCGTTAAGCAAGGACTACCTGCAATAGTATATCAGTATACAGCTCTTCAGTTAGAAGATACTAATGTTTTTTATTTATCATATCTATATTTATCTGAACATCTGATGCTTAACTGGCAGTTGAAACAAGTGAAGAGGTCATTAAAATTTCAATAGATTCTGTTGTATAAGTTTAGGAAATCATCATCTTTGTAAGTACCATGGTATGAACTCTTTTTGTACCTATGAGACTAATTTAGATTTGTTTTTATAGGGGCATGATGCATCTGAGAAAATGAGTAGCATTTAAAACTGTTTACTTTAAATGAAATAGTAATTACTTTAGGCTCAATGCAGAAACACTTTATGAATTCAGTTTGCTATACAAATTCATGTAAAATTGTGTGAGTATTTTTATTGTATCTTATTTTTCACACTACAGTTTGTGAATTGGACTTCTGTGGTTAATTTTTTTCATTCTAATTCAATGATATATGATACAGCACTGTTCTTTTATTTAAAATGAAAGCTTTTTTTCCTTGCTTTTCTCAACCAGTTTTATTAGAATTCAGAGGATACCCATATTTGTATAAATTATTTGAAAACCCGAGATGTTTTTCAGTGTGCTACTTGCAATAATACTGAATTCACTTAACTATTGTTCACCTCATTTGTTTATTATTTATTTCTATTTACAGAGCTAAAGGAAATAGTGTTTGTCATTCAGAGTCAGAGGAATTCTTTTCATTTGAAGAAAGCAGATGATCTTAAACAAAGTATTTTAAAACAGGCTGCCTCTTTAGGAAAGGTATGCTATCATGTTAAATCTATTTATCTTCCTGCTTGTCTTACATTTGAAATTTGAATTATAATTCTAGGATATATTGATCTAAAACTGTTCACCTGTACAACTGTGTAACAGTAGATTTCCAGCTTAGTTTATCGTCCAAATATATCCGCTGAATTTCTTTATTTTTTAAAATGATGCTTATGCTATTTGATTTTTCCATTGGTTTGTGTGACTTTTTTTCTCCTCATTTAGGCACATCATGCACATTAAAATGTGTACATGAGTTTTCTTTAATGGTCCTAACAAGGTCCTAACATATTAATATGTATATTTGTACATCCTGGTTTGTATTCATATAATAGATGCTAAATTATTAATTTAAGGGCAGATAGAACTTTATTTGCACTGTTTCCTTTTAAATAAAATCAAGACTATTTGGGGTTGAGTGGAGTTAGAGGAGCTAACCACAAGTTAACAAGGTGAGCTCTGTCACCTTAATTAGTTGATTACAGGTAGTCCTCACTTAGTGACCACAGTTGAGACCAGCAACTTGGTTGCTAAGTGCCACAGTTGCTAAGCAGAAAATCACCAAATTCAATGGACTTACAACCTTACTTCCCTTTCAGTTGTATAGTATGTATAGTATAAATAGTATGTAGATGCTGTTAATCTCTATGTGTCTGTTAATTGCTGCCTTGTCTGAATACCAGGCTTCCAAGAATTCTCTTGCATATTTGGGTTTATCTTGATCTAAAATGCTGACAGTTTCCCAGTTAAAACTATGGACTATTCAAAAGAGACAAAAGACCAGAAGATCGCCTCACCAGCAATCAATCACCAGCAATCATCACCCAGAT